ACACCTGCAGCCTCACTCAGGAAGACACAGTTTTTCAGATGCATCACAGTAATTGTAGAACAGGATTTTCTACACACAGGTAGGCATCCAAACTTTTATAACTCATGTCACAAATCATAAATATACTAGCTGCTCTAGTAGACAGTTTGCTAGGCAAGATGGCTAAATAAATTGGTAATTCTCCATTGAACTTTATGTGCAGATTCCTAAAGTACAAACAGACAAATAAATGACAGAACAATTCCACTCCTATCCAAAATTATACTCTCTAAAAATTCATGCAAGTTCTAAATAGCAAATTGTTTCCTTACAGTGTAAGTCCCTAAAAATTAACAGATAACAGGACTCCAAATATTTGGTCAGGTAGGTAGGTAGGTAGATAGACAGACAGACAGACAGATAAATGACAGACTGATGTGTCTGTAAGCCACCAACCAATTATCTAAGTGTTCACATCACCAAAGGACATATTCTCAATGAAACCTCATAAAAACTAACCTGTTTTCCAACAGAATACAGATGTAAACTAAAGTCAAAAGATCACAGTTTACAGTCAGTTTCTTATTTTAAATATAAAACATCCAAGACAGGATGTTAGGTTCAACGCCCATTTTCTACTGAGATCACTGCGCTTCAGCATATTTTAATTATAACATACAGTTCTCATTTGTACATTTCTAGTTTTCATTTGTTTCAGGTTTCTGGTGTTTTCTAGTATGATACAAATTGTTTTATAAGAAAGGAGAGTATCTATTTTTCAAAGATGTAATAATTTTCCATTTAACTTAGCTTTCAAATGTCTATTACCTACTCACTACAATCGTTGATGTCATTTAAATTTCATTACCCTGTGAACTGAGGTTTCACGCATGCGTATTCCTTGACCTGGTGCTAATTTTCCCCTTTTGCTATGCTCCATGAGTCCCAGTGCTTACTTTCCTAAGCTATGTCTTCTCTCGCTGTAACAAGCCATCACCACGTCTTCCAGCTAAGGTTGTTATTTCAATCCTGTTTCGCTCAGTCTTCTAATGGGGCTAGGAAACACATCAACCCAGCTGGGTGGAATTTCAGGTAGAGTAAAAGTGGAAGTGATATGGGAAGGATCTCCGCGTTACAGCTAAATAACATGTTTTAATACATGAAAAATTGAAAATAGCCGTAGTGGAGAATTCATTTCATGATTATAGAGGAAAATGAGCTATGTTTTTGTTTCCTGCTTTATCTTCCAAAAAGGGGAAAGAACAAAACATGTCTGAACCAAAGCCAGTGTTTATATGAAGTGCTTATAAGAAGAATTTTTGTGAAGAAGGGCTGTATTTTAATATATGTGATATTGATCTCCAGGGAGATAAAAAGGAAGCAGCGGTGAACAGTCTGCTTGTTAACATTAGTTTGCCCAAAACACCATATAAAAGACTTTAGAAAAAGTCTAAAATCATAAAGTATGGTTTTAGAACCTAATCCATGATCTATTTAGAGTAAGACTTGTCCTTTTCTTTAATGTCTAATAAAATTTCACCTGGACAAAGTCTGATCTACAGTGTCTTTCAAACAGCTTGATCATGACCAAAGAAGTAACTTTTTATAACAAAGTCCAACACATGTACACACGTACACACACACACACACACACACACACACACACACACACAGAGGGGCATATTATTTCGTTTAATGACCCTTATTCTTACACTTTCTATTCTATTTTTTAAATGGCTATTCATGACCCTGTAAACTGATTTCAAGACCCACAGGATGGTCATGGCCCAGGGTTTGGAAACCACGGGATGAGTGATCCAGGAGGCCCAGTGGAGTCACTCCAGGAGAGGCTGTGACCACAGTTCCTCACAGACCCCTAATGCTCCCCTCTGGGGTCACGCAAAGGGCCTTTTGTTTGAATACACCCCCGCTGCCCCCCCTCCCCCACCAGGAGCTCGTTTATGGCTTCATCAGGACAAAAGCCCTCTGTACCCACGGTCATCGTCAAGTGGGCACTGCCAGCTCCAGGATCCAACACGCTCCGGTCCATCTGGACGTCCTGCGTCCAGCAGGAGGGGTACCTGATGTCACCTGTGCTTTGCCTTGAATGTGACAGGGAGTTAAGTGACAGGTGAAGGCTAATTGAGTGGCTTCTGTCTCTGTGGTTCAGAAATGTCTGTCCAATTGGGATTTAAAGGATCAAACTCCACTTGGATCCAGATAAACAATCTTTACCTTAGCTTGACCCTAAAATACAACTATGAGTCAGGTCAAATGATTGTCAGAAAAGAGTAGGGAGAAGAAAAGCTAATTCTGACCTATCGAGCCTATGTAACTGGCAAGAAAATTAAACCAGTGATTAAGTTTTAGCAATCACTCCAAAATTCCACTACTGTCATAATCACAGTGAAAAATAATATTCCCTTTTCAAGCAAATCTAAATGTTAAAAGAATTGACCCCAAAATAAATCAAATAAGTACAATAAAAATGCATAGGCTATATAATCAAAACCCAAAAAGTATTAATTTATTGAAAATAACAACCTTCGATCATGCTAAATGATGATTAGTCTGACTTAATGGCTTTTTTCCTACTCTCCTTACATCCATATTTTTCAACTTCCTAACTGACCATTAATAATGACAGAAGACAAAGTTGATTCGCTTTTTTCACAAACTCTTGGAGACTATTTCAGACATTCTCCCGTAACCATACCAACTACATGCTACAATCACAATACAATGAGCAGCACATTTGTCTACAGCAGAAGGATGGAATGCACTTTCCACGTTGGAAATTACAGGCATCATTGTTTCTATCCTTTCCTAGACGTCATTATTACTTTCACATGATTTATGACCAAAAGTATGAGAGAGGGTGCAAAAATCCTGCGCCCGATTCCCAGATGGCACATAACATAAGCCGAACTGTGAAAACCTCGTAAATGTGGGCAGATCAGTTTCATCAAAGAAAGGAGCGAGTTCCAGGGATGGGGCAGGAAACGGCCCAGAGAAGTTTTACAGTCGTGCGGGTCCAAAGCAGCAGACGTGAATGAGCTGGGCTCCTGAGCACAGAGGCCTGAGGCCACGTTAGGGCGTCAGCGCGGAACCGGGCAGACGCCTGCGGACGCTCCCAGTCAGCCCTGCTCATTCTGTGGTAAGCCTGCCTTTTTTTCATTCTTTTTAGACTGAATCTGAAATCAATATAATCACTCTTGAAACGATTTCAAAAGAGATGTTTTTGAAGAGTCCCAACAAACACTGAAATAACTATAATTCCAATGGAATATTCCAAGTGAACAAACAAGTTACAAGTTATTTCAAAAGATATTACCATATTTCCCCATGTATAAGACGCACCTTAATTTTGGAGCCCGAAATTTGAAGAAAAAAATGTATTACATAAAGTTATTGAACTCAAGTTTTATTCATCATAAAATTCATACAACTCCTCATCACTGTCAAAAAAATCTACAACCACTGTATAAGATGCACCCAGTTTTTAGACCCCAAATTTTTCAAAAAAGGGTGCATCTTATACATGGAGAAATACGATGTATACATGTTACTTAATAGCATGCCAAAATGTATCAACCAAAACTAATAAGCAAATATTTATCACATCACAAAACACTTTAACATACATTTCTAAGATGTTGAATCTCTTTGGACACATTTTTCTGAATTCAATTCCAACATTATTATATACACAAAGTAGATAAAACGAATATGCTGAGGCAAGAGCTTGACTAAAGGAGAAGTGTAGGAAAAGCAAACAAAAAGCATCGAGACAGGAAGATGGTAGCTTTGGACGGTAATCTCGTTAGAAGGGAAGAAGCCGAAGTTAGGGGGTCACGTTAATGAAGAAGGCAAGTTGTTTCAGGCACGGTGACGCAGAGGGTGGAAGGACAGCAAGCGGGGACAGTATGGGGAGGCTCCGGTATAAAGTCTGGATGAACAGGTTCAGGTGGCTATGCTAAAACTTACACAGGCACTGGAAATCAGAGGACAAAGTGACACATGGAACGGTGCTTCGCGACTGTTGACCTGGTAGGAGGGACTGTAGGGGGAAGTGATAACAAACATGAAGCCTCATTAGACATTAGACGGGAATTAAGGTGATGAAGGTGAAAAACCAGCAGGATGTGGAATGGCAAAGGAACGGGTGACAGAAGGAGCTGAGATGATGCAGAGAGAAAAATCTCTAAGAACTGCTTTCTCATTTCAAAAAGGAGCTAAGATTAAAGCGAGAAGCAGGCATAATTCTAATGATTTCATCATGCACAGAAACAGGAAACTCCAAAGAGGGATTATCTGGGGCAAAACGAATGACAAGGCCATTGTGGAACACGCTAAAGTGTACTGGGTGAAAAAGATGCTCAGTTATATATCAAATAAGCAGTAGTAAATGTGGGTCTGAAGCTGGTGATTAAAAAAAATAATAAATCATTCGGAGTTCGTCAGAATAGAGCTGACAGCAGAAGTCCCAGATGTAGCTGACACAGAGAACACAGAAGTGGTCCAGCCAAAGCATCCAGGTGGGGGGGGTGGTGCTAATTTTCCCCTTTTGCTATGCTCCATGAGTCCCAGTGCTTACTTTCCTAAGCTATGTCTTCTCTCGCTGTAACAAGCCATCACCACGT